AAGAATGAAGCATTCATACACTTTATCAAGAACATGCCACCCAGGTTGGGAAAGAAACACTGAGGTGGGTGCTGGTACTTGCTGATTGGTGCACAGAGATCACAGGGTTTTCTTTAATAGTCTGCCTACATCTAGATTTAAGGGATCCATAATCAAGTGTCCTTTCTGTAGGAACAATAAGACCTTCATAAGATCGCTTTCATCATACAAGTACATCATCCCTACTACACAGGTCGGTGTACAGTTCGTCTCACGATGAGTTATCTGTACACCATCACTGATGTTTGGGGGATGTCATTTCATTCTTCCATTCCCATCATGTACCCGTCAAATGACCAGAAACAAGGAAAGTGCTAGCTGTGATAGCATATGCCGACACATGACAGAAAAACAAAGCAGACCTGGGCCGAGTGTGCGCTTCGTTCACCTGTCACATATATCTTTGAGGCTCTATAAGCTGCAGCTGGAAGAGGACATTTGCAGAATACAAGAAATTCTGGTTTTTCTTGGTGTCAGCACACTTGTGAAATCCATCCCTCCCATTCTAAGAGGCTGACTAAAGAATAGGTGACAGTCATTAGCACACCCCCTTCCTGATGCCCCCAAATTTTCCAACTGCTGCATGTCAGCAACTTGGCTAACCACTAACTGACGTCAAATCATCTTCATGATTTTAAAGCTGAACTCCGGGGAAAAGAAAAAATATATCCTTGCAGTGGGGCTCCCCTCTGTTAATGGGGTTATATGCTCGTTTATGTCGGGGGTACCGGAAGGAAGACCTTTTACTTGCCTAGTCGCTGGCTCCCACGGGCTCTCTGTTTGTTATACTACCGGCCCCCGCTGTTTCTTCTCTTAGACAGTCAAAAGGGCCAATAACCGTGCATTATACGTGAGGGCGGCAAGGGACCACCCACAACCCGGAGCGGCGGGGAGAAGCGGAGAGCACCGGCTGCCAGAGGAACGAGGGATTAGGTTAATAAAAGTTCTTTTTCCTGGTACTCTAGGCATAACCCAGCACTTTAACCCTTGCACTACCGAGGGGAGAGTACTTTTTTTCCCCCCCTGGTGTTCCCCTTTAACCCTTTCGCTGAGCTGCCGCCAGATCACTTCTATGCCCTTCACTGCCCGACATCCCCACCTTGTTTCCCAGGCTCCGCTTCCCCCCTGTGGGCCCGGCATCATGAGTGCTGGTGGGAAGCATGGAGAGAGACCAGCAAACAACCGTTCGCCGATTCCACCCAACCCCACCCTGTTGAATGGAGCAGGAAGCAACGCTGATTGCATCTCTTCCGGCTCCTCAGCTGTCACCCTAAGGCTGGGTTCACACCTAGGCGTATCGAATATGCGCGTTTGTCGAGGGCTACCTGGCTGTATCCCAATGGAAACGCGCAACAAAAAACGCCCCAAAGAAGCTCCTGTACTTCTTTGGGCGTAGGACTTTTGTAGCGCGTTCATACGGCCTGTAGTACGCCCAGGTGTGAACCATAGCCATAGGAAATAATGGGATTTCGGTGTTTGAGCGTTTTGCAGAGCGTAGGAACGCGCTAAAAAACGCCCAGGTGTGAACCGGGCCTAAAGAGAACCTGTCAGCACTAATATGCTATCACACAGCGAGCTTGTGAGTCCCCCTATGACCCTATGAGATAGCAATGAAGTTAAGTAAAAAAACAGTTAATAATAGAGAGGAACTGATACTATTTTTTCCAGACCGAGTACCGATACTTTTCCTCAAGTACTCGCCGTTACCAATTACCAATAACTTTTTTTTTTTTTTTTGCAGCTGCAACCTCTGGGTCCTGGGCAGTTTTGC